TCGGAATGGGTAAAGGTGGAAAGTGGTGTCCCACAGGGTTCTGTCTTAGGCCCAGTACTCTTCCTGATTTATGTTAATGACTGCATCAGCGAAGTGAATTGCGAGGCTCTCATGTTCGCGGATGACATAAAAATATGGAGTGAAGTCAAGTGTGATGATGACGCAGAGAAGTTGCAGTCGAACATCAACAAACTGTGTGCTTGGTCGAACAGATGGCTTTTGAAGTTTAACGTGTCCAAATGCGTGGTTTTGCACCTGAACACGGGCCGCAATGCCTCTCCCAAACACCAGTACTATATTGACGGGACGAGGTTAGAAACTGTGGAAAGACACAGAGATCTGGGTGTATGGACGACCACAAATCTATCGCCATCAGAACACTGCAGAAAGATGGTCCAGAAGGCAACTAGTACTCTACATTGGATCAGACGTGCCTTTAAAATATTTCCTCCCGAACTCTTCGAAAGACTCTTTGGTGTCTTTGTAAGATCTCATCTAGAGTATGGAATGCCAGCAGCCTCACCATGGATGAGGAAGGATATCAACTTACTCGAACAGGTGCAACGCAGAGCGACAAAGATGGTCGACGGTCTGAAGTATTTGTCTTATCAGGAGAGGCTGAATTTGCTTGGCCTATTCCCTCTCTCTTATAGACAAATAAACTACAGTCTACTCTGGACCTTCCGGATTGTTCGCGGCCAGGGTTGCTCATTAAGAGCAGAGGACTTCTTTGAGTTCGCCCGTACAAACCAACTACGCGGCCATGCATTCAAAGTCGGGAATGAGCGCACGCGTTTAGACTGACGAAAATTTTCATTCAGCCAGCGGGTTGTCAGACCGTGGAACTCGCTTCCAAGCGTGATGGTGACGGCTGACACAGTTTGTGTGTTTAAAAGAAAACTTGCTCGTCTAGTTTTCGACATAAATCGGCTTGTACGGCATGACCATGCACAGCCAGTTTTGTAAAATCTGTCATATACAATCTTCCGCACTAATTTACAGAGACCCCATGCACTACCTTATGATTACGATTGAACTGTGACCCAAACACATTTTAAATTCCTGCAATTTTATTTTATTTTTGAGTATGAATCTGCGAAAGCACTGTACATAAATAGGGTCATCAAGGGCTCTGCCTGTAACCCTTCAATATACATACATACATAAATACGCTCAGTATTGTCTCTCTCAACGCAAGATATGTCGTGCAAAAGATGGCACACCTAAGAAGTGTAGCTGTTGAGTTTGACACAGACGTACTGTGCATTTATGAATCTTGGGCCCACTCTCTAATTTCAGACTCGGCACTTAATATAGATAGCCTCAGTTTATACCGCCAGGACCGTGCCGACAAACGCGGCGGTGGATGTCTTCTTTACATAAGAGCATCACTTGCACAATCGCCTTATAACTTGAACATTTCCTCCTTCTCTGGAAATTTATCTTTCGCTTCGGTAATCCTTCCGCAAAATAGGAAAGCCTTAGTCGGATGTGTATATTATCCTCCTTGTTCCTCCGGAAATGAAAGCCAACTTTGTGAACTCTTTGAAAAAATTGCTGTAACTTCTTTCGATGTCAAGATAATCGTAGGCGATTTTAATTTGCCAGAAATTGACTGGCACACACATACTTCTCCTCCTAAATTCCAGAAGCTGCTTGGCACAATTTACTTTTCAAACCTGACTCAATTATTTCACTCTTCGACCAGAAACGATAGTGTTTTAGACTTAATTTTTACTAATGGCACCTTCCCTTTATCGATGGATTTTTATCATGACCTCTTTGCAAGTGATCATGCATTAATCCATTGTCGCCTTCCAGTTGCCATTTCCGCAAAGCCAACAGTTCAACGTAGTATTTTTGACTTTGCTAATGTTAATAAGGAATTAGTAAATAACTTTACATGCACTGTTGATTGGCACAATATTTTTTCAAATAATGATCTAAATTTTTTCAACAATTTATTACAATGCGGTACAGAAGGTCTTCTCGACCTTATTCCTCGGAAGATGTTTAAATCGAGTGCTAATTCCACCGCTATCCCACACTTTCTTAAAAACAGACTTAAAAAGTTACGGAAGCAGTTTAAAGATCCTTCTGTGAGCTCATTATCAGTTCATCTAAGAATCGTTGAAATATTTGAACTAGCTTCGAAAATGAGGCTCGAGCGAGATAGGCGTAGAGAGTCTTTAGCTATTAATGACGTGAATTCTTCTAAATCAATTGCTCAGATCTTCCGTCAGAGATCATTTGCTAAGTCCCACCAAGTCATTCCGCCCTTGCTTAGTGCTAGTGATGCCTTCATTACTGAGGAGTCAGGCAAAGCAGAAATTTTAAATTCGTTCTTTGCCGAGCATTTCACCATTGAAACTGATCCGATCCCTGTAATTCCCTCGTCGTCTGATGCTTCTCTTAGTTTCATAAATTTTTCTCCTGAATAGAATAGAATAGAATAGGTTTATTGTAGCGCCCCTTGGGCACTGTCAGTCCCCTTTGAACTCAGGAAAAAAACCTAAAACAAACTCGTCAATTTCAACTGCACTTTGACTTCATTTGCTTCGGGTGTCTGGTTAGCCAAAAGAGCGCGAATTGAGAGTTTGTTTTAAGTTAAAAAAAACCTCAGTTCTAAGGGAAAATAATAACAAAAGTTTCAATAAATAACGATATGTACAATATAAAAATTGAAGTTTGCAGTTTGGTAGTTTTCGGGGGCATGAATAATATGTCCTTCATGGCAATTGAAGAACTTTGATATCGGCCTGACCTTGAAATTATTTTCCTGTTGGGTAAATTTCGGTTTGCTCTAGTTGTTGGTTGTCGGGATTAGTTAACTAACACACTTGCGGATAAAGTCTACTAGAACTTGCAACCCAAAAACCAAAACGTAAGCGGACAAATAAAACGTTGATTAGTTTAAACAAACGGCAAAGAATAGCATGATAGAGAATCATAGAAATATGGTAATCAGAGTGATAATGGGATAGCAAATTTCCAAGTTACTATCGTAAATACTGACCGTTTGCGTACAATTCACCAGTTCTATAGGTTAAATGATTGGCATATTCTCATCGTCATATCTAATCATTGCGTCTCGCATGAAAACGTTCGACCAATCACTATTCAGCACTCTGAAACCCGTCCGCATATAGCGTTTTCTAATCACACCCATAAGTGAAAACGTGCCAATAAGTTTGGAAAAGGGATTTGCCTAAGTTAACCTACGTAAAACTAAGTTTGTTTGTCATGCAATATTACATTGTGGCCTTGGAGACCCTAATCTATACCACGGACGGCGAGAGCATGCTCCCGCCGTCTACTTGGGGCTGAGAGCATGCATGCTCTCAGACCCTAATAACAACGAGTTCGAAGGTGGACTTCCACCTTCTTAGGGCCAACGCAGGAGCGCCCAGGTTGTGCTGCGGCTCATTCTCAGCCGTATTTATGGAGCCCAGGTCTTCGACTCACTCAGAGGACTCGAATGTAACAGTAATTACTGCAGGAGCCTCTGGTACTTTTGTCGCCCCTGAAAACTTTCGAACGAATCGCGTTGGAACAAACTAAAAGAGGCATGCTTTTTGATATTGTAATTTGAGTTTGTGTCACTGTAAACGTCATGAAACTTTTAGTTCCTACCACACGGCTGTGGGAGGTAGTAATTGCATTTCCACACCAAGCTACACTGCGCGCGCGGTCGTCACAAAGTGAACTATAGGCAAGACGCCTTACGGAAACGAACGACTGCACAAGCTTTTTGTAAAAAACTTGATAATTGAAAATTAAAAGTATTGACATGCGCGCGTCTGGTGCCGTCCACTAGTCAAAATCACTAATCCATTTGCACACTTGCGTAAATTCACTGGACAATCAACCACTGTATGACATCGCACAATCATTGTAGGCTTGGGGAACTTAGTTTTTGCACTGGAGGCTTCTAAACCCCAGAAGTCCCCTCGTAACTTCTCATAAACTAAATATGGTTTCTTTTTTGGGCTTAATCTCGAAAATCAGTACACTATAGTGTACTATAGTCATATACTGGAAGTCGGTCCGAGTGTTTGACCACAAAAGTGGGGCGCTTGTCTTATAGAAATTTTCAGATGCGAACATGAGATCAACATCAACTCCCGGTCGGTCATCCGTGCATAGGTTAAGGACTCTGTCTGAATGCCAGCGATTTTTCTTAATTCCCACGGCGATTAAACTACCCAGTTGGCGCATCAGCTTGCTGCAGAAAGTATACCAGCCTTCATTGGAAGCTGGATGTGAAATAAGCTGAATTGTGCCTGTTAGATTGGTATCTGGGAACCGGCAGCAGCAGGGGTACCAGCGAGCTAGGGTCTATCATACCGATTCCTTCAGAGATGCCGCAAAGTTCGATGACCGCAAGATGATTTGACGGCGGCGAACCGCTCTTAAGTCGATTCACCCGTCATCGCCGCCTAGCGGTTGGGTTCCACCGAACCAAAGCGCTGCGAGCACTACCTGAATAAATAATCCGGGTGGCTTGCATGTAGCCAACTAGGTCAGGCACAATCAAAGCTTTATCATGCGGGGCAATATAATATTGCGTCGTATGTTGATATTTTAATTTGCCTTCTGGAAGCTCTAGCAGGTGTGTAGAATTCGAGGCTAACGCAAAAAGCCAGGTCGAAATCAGTGTACGAAAGTAGGAAGAGTGAATACTGCACTCGGAACCCTTAGACCCAAGTCATTTCCATTATACTTGTTCTTGCTGTCATGTGTTTACTCATACATAATTAGGGATCACCCTTTGGCTGTCATGGCACAGCCTGTGTAGAACAGGCTTCTCCCGCAAATGTACTGTGGTAGGGGATGTCATCTAGTACAGAACTCACTTTCGCTCCCTCTCATTAATATGTAACAGGTTTTTTTATTGCAGCCGTTCGGCACCGTAGAAGCTTGAACTTGCGAAAATGCAACTGCTGTAGAAGCCTGTCGCTTTTGCTTATTTCTCTGGGATCTTCCGTCTGCTTCGGTAAATGGCGACTAAGACGTCAAAAACCATCAGCTCTGATTGTGGAGATGACTCATTGGGTGAGTTGTTTAGTCACATTGTATGCACTTATGTTGCCTCAAGTCATTTCGAATCATGCCTTCTAAATTACCCTGTGTTATTTGTTTACAGGTATGTTCTATAATGATCGCCTTCCATCAGAGTTGATTTTCTCTCAACTTTCCGGCTGCCAATGCACAGGTCTCTCCTGTAACCCTGATCAATGTGATTGCGTGAAGCGCCGTAACGGGAGCGTATTTGACAGCTCCTTTCGACTCTCCTGCCTTTTGGATTACAAGAACAGTCAACAACTCCAACCGGTCTTCGAGTGCAATAGTTGTTGTGCTTGTCAGCCTACCTGTTCTAATCGGCTGGTTCAGCACTTTGTTGGGCGCTTTCCGGCATTGAAAGTCGTTAATACAGGAAATGCTGACAAAGGCCTGGGTGTCATATGCGAGAAGGATATTTCACCTGGTCAGTTTGTCTGCGTCTACATGGGAGAATATATTCTGCCGTCGGATGCCGGCCGGGTTTCTCGAGACCAGATTCGCTATCTGGGCCACACATACGTTCTGTGTGTTCGAGAATTCGCAGGCCAGTCCCGGCTAGTAAGCGAGACAGTAGTCGACGGTGCTGCGGAGGCATTTTTGCCCGATCTGCCCATATCTAGTTTCATAAATCACTCTTGTCAGCCAAATATGACCGTTATCCCTGTACGCGTGGATTCCATGCTACCATTTCTAGCATTTTTTGCCAATCAGCATATCATGGCAGGCGTTGAATTAACGTACGATTACGGAGAGTACTCGGCGTCTCCAGACTGCCTTTCAAAGAAACCCTGTCAGTGTGGCGAATTGACGTGTCGTGGGTTCTTGCCCTGTGCTGAATGAATTTTATGTGATCGCTTAAATCTTCATTCCCAGTGATGTTGGTCAGCGCATGAGAGGTAAGGACTGCGATCGCCAACGGGTTTTAAAAGCTCGGCCCGAAATGAGGGTCGGCTGAGATGTGTCCGCGGGATCCGGGATTATCTATCCCTTTGAACCTCTGTTCTCTGATCCTATGTGTCCTTCTTACGCATTTACTGTTTACTCTGCATATACGTTATGTTGTTGGTGTACGCATTTGTGGTGTAATGCAAGCATTTCATGGAGATTAATGTTTTGATTGCTGTTCAAGTTCAGTGTTTGTACGTTTTCGATTATTCATCTTCAGGCCTGTACAGTAATTTAGCAAAATTAAGAGATCCAGGTTGATAATCTGAGGAAAAGTAACTGCTCACCGGATCGAAAGACTTGTTCATCTGACGTTTCGAAGAGCTGGGGCGGCTCTCAATTATCAAAGTGTCTAGTGAAAAATCGATCAGAAATTTTGAATGGACAACCGGATTAGTTGGCCTTGGGCTGGTCGATTTTCATCTTTTGCTGCCTTGGCCTGCTGGCCGTCGCCTGTGAGTGTTGGTGGCCTCATGTATTGTGTGTCGTCACCTCAATTGGGGTTAGTTGCGTTTGCGTCTCCCGTTTGGGTGAATTGGTCGACAGGCCGTGTTTGCTCGGTAGTCTTGGGCTCCGCATGACTGTCTTGTCTTCGTCACGGCGTATGTAGTGACGTAGGAATTTATAGGCCGAAGGAAGGTCTAGATGCCTGTTGATGGAGTTGGCATCTGAGTGCGAAGCCTTAAGTGTGAGACGCTCTGTCCTTGAGGTGCCCCTGCCTATGACGGCTGCTCCATGAAAATAAAAACTGTGACCGGTTTCCCCTATGTGAGCCGAAAGCTGTAAGCTTGGGTCTGGTCTCCGAGTTGCCAGTTTGTGCTCATGTAGGCGGATCTGCAATTCCCGTCCGGTTTCCCCAACGTAGTTGCAGTCTCCATCGTTACAAGGTATTTGATAGACAACTGCTGAGGTTTCAGTGGATGGCAGTATGTCTTTGGGTTGCATCAAGCGGTGACGAATTGTTGCCTGGGGTCAATGCGCAATGCCTACCCTGGCGGGTTGTGACAATCGTGAGGCCGCCACGGAGACTCCCTTAATGTAAGGAAAAGCCCTCCAGACTTCGGGTTGTTCTTCTTGTGGCCGTCGTCTGTTGACTCGGCGCTTGCTTTACCTGATGAAGTAGCCTGGGTATCCATTGGTTCGAAAGAGGTCATGAAGGTATTGTCGTTCAACTCTTTTGTCGGCTGGTTTGCTGCAGTGCATTTCAACTCTTTGGAATAAAGTACGGACACGGCTGCGTTTGTGAGAGAGGGGGTGATTGCTGTTGAAGTTTAGTATTTGTCTTGTGGTGGAGGCTTTTCTGAAAACGGTAGTTTGTAATTGCCCAGTTGCAAACCGACGCACAAGGACATCGAGGAAGGGAAGTTGGTTGTTTGCTTCGGCTTCCATCGTGAATTGGATATTCGGGTCAACCGAGTTTAGTAATTCTTTAAGGCGCTCCACGTCATATGATTTGACAATGGCGAAGGTGCCATCGACGTAACGAGCCCAGAACTTTGGTTGATACTTGGTGAACACCAAGTGTTCTATCCGTTGAAGAACCACTTCAGCAATCAGCCCTAATATGGGGGAGTCCATGGGGGTGCCTTTGATTTGTTCATAAATTTGTCCACCAAAGGTGAGATGTGTTTTTAGACGCTTTGACAATGGAGAGCCGCCCCAGCTCTTCGAAACGTTAGCCAAACAAGTCTTTCGACCTAGTGAGCAGTTCATTTGCCTCAGACTGTACAGCAATATAAGTAAGTTATGTTTGAGCAGCGACGGTTGAAACGAGCAGTGAACATAGTCATGGGGGGTAGGCTTAAGGGTGTCCGGGTATGCCAGGTAATTATAGTCT